TTACATCAGATCCCAGGATGGTAGGCACGAGAAGGTGGTCTCTCCTGCTCCGATATGGTTCTAGCACATGTCTGTGTTGTGGTTGTGGGGGGAAATCTGATGCTGATTTAACTGAGCCTCTGAGCTATGTTTCAGCCCTTCATAGATTTCATAGACATTAGGGCTGGAAGGGACCTCGAAAGATCGAGTCCAGCCCCCTTCCCCATCTGTGCTGCAGAGTATTAGATCGCAACCACGCGACTGTGCCCCCAGCACGGTTGTTGTTTCTGGCAGTGTGGATTGGCTTCTGGGCAATTACCCACTTCCAAGGGTTGTTTGAATGACAGCGAACAAAAAAACAACCCCAGCCTGAAGCGGTGCATTCACTCAGTGCTTTTTTTCTCTCTTCTCACTGCCTTATAGGGACAAAGTGCCAGTCCATGTGGTGGTGGATCCTGTTCTCAGCCGCGTCTTACGGCCCCATCAGAGAGAAGTAAGTTTTGTAGGATACAGCCAGAGGGTCCTGGTCTTTGCGGGGAGTCTTGATCAGGCAGGTGGAGGGGGCTGAAGAGCTGCACAGCTGCCTTTACTAGGAAACTCTCCTTCTAAGTGCACTAATGGCAAGAATAGATGAATGGATTTTGAGCTGTAATATATGCAGCCATAGCAGGGTCTGCACTCTCTATCAGATGTTGCAGGGGATGTATAGGAACTTAAAGCTGATACTGTGCTAGATCTTTGCCGAAAATCACTAGTGAAGTTCTGATTTTGACCGTAACGGCCAAGCAGTGATGAATATTTGCTGGCACCCTGCCCCACTGCATCCATTTTAGACATGCTGTACCTGTCCATTTTTAAATGAAGATACATACATGTTCAACCTCAAGTTATTGGGCTCATTGCAAAGATCACTGGGAGAGATTCTCAGGCCTGCACTTAAGCAAGAAGTGAGACTGGATGCTTGTACTGGTCCTTTTGGGCCTCAGAAATCTACAGATCTGCTTCTTCTGGGAGAAGGCAAAATCTCCCACCCCCCCCTGAAAAACCATCTGTTATGGTTAGAGACATTGGAATTTAGAAATGTTAACCACCCAGCTTCACAGAGTTGCTTCCTGGGAATACTCACAGCTGTCTGCTTGCTGTAGTGATCAGTGTTTTATTGCAACTATTAAGCTTTATTGCATCTATTGAGCGATATAGAGCCAGCTTGGCTCTGGGAGAATGACTTAAGTGTTGTCAATACAGGATGTTATCCAAAGGTTAGGTTATGAATGAAATACTGTGCAGAGCCCTGCTTAAGGCTGTAGGGTCTGTCCCCACAGCCCACCCCCTGTCCTGATTTCTGATTACCTGCATGCATACAGAGGTATTGTCTCCAATGTTCCTCTGACATGCCTGGGGCGGGTACATGTTCCTGGCAGGGTGCATTAGTCAGACTGACCCCAGGTGGACAGTAGGATTCCAGATGTATCTGGAATATTTGTGTTGAAATATTTTCTCCAGGAAACGAAACCCATCAGATCTAGAGTCATTAAGCTGACAAGTCAGGAGCATTCTGCCTTCCCTGCTCTCCCTGCCAGTTGCTACACAGGACAGAGCCATGCTTTCAAGGCCTGGTAACTTATGCCTAGCAATCAGTGCATATAAGCTATTTGCAAATCACTTGTTGTGTCAGCTGTCAATAATAGCTTTGGATTTGGAGCTAGCCAGGGTAGCTGTGCCTGTGTCTTTCAGTGAAAAACCTCTCCTGGCCTATATATCTGTTTCCCAAAAACCCCAGGATAATGGGAATTATATACGTATGGGCTGAGTACCTAATAAGCTATTGAGGTTTATTGCAGATACAGGATCTAATCCCTTAGAACCAGAGGTGGGGTGGGTAGAAGCTTTCATTTGGCTCTCAAGCTAAGCGGGGTCGGGCTTGTTGAGTGTCTTGATGGGAGAAAGGAGCATTACCATTGCTGCAAGGAGTGCTGCAGGCTCTCTACAGGATCAGCAGTGCAGCACGACACTAGTCTGTAGCGGTGCCCTTGTAGGTACGTGTCCTCTTGGATGAGAACCTGGCTACTTGCCAGCAGTGAAGATCTCATAGCATTTTTCCTACCTCTAGCACCCAGGGTAACTTAGACCTTCCCATATAGGTCCTTCTGCTATGCCCATCAATACATTAGTGTGACTAATCAGACTCTGCCTGTCTGATATCCCTCCTTTAATTTACTCTGGACACTTCCTGTCTCTGGCTGCTGGGTGGTATTCACTAGCTGCCTTATCCCACAGCAGAGGTGGCTGCATTTCTGCAGCAACTCTGGTCTTTCCTTTGGGCTTCGGGTTCCCCGAGTTGTTCAGTGTCAGCTTTTGCTGGTGCCAAGCTGCAAAGAGAAACCTTGCAGCCTTTATCCGGCACCCACGGCTCCATGCTAAGGCCAGGGCTCTTCCCTCAGGGGGTGAAGTTCCTGTGGGACTGCGTAACCAGCCGACGGATCTCTGGGAGCCACGGCTGCATCATGGCTGATGAGATGGGGCTGGGCAAGACCCTACAGTGCATCACGCTCATGTGGACGCTGCTTCGGCAGAGCCCCGACTGCAAGCCAGAGATTGACAAAGCCATGGTGGTAGCCCCGTCCAGCCTGGTGAAGAACTGGTATAACGAAGTAGAGAAATGGCTGGGAGGACGGATCCAGCCTTTGGCCATTGATGGAGGCTCCAAGAATGAGATCGACAATAAGCTAGGTATGGAGAGAGGTTCATGAAGGTGGCTTTTCTTGTCCTCTGCTATAGATGTTTTAGCTGCTGATGGTCTTGGGGCCTGGGTCACAGCTTGCTGAAGAGAGCATGAGTCTTTCCATTGCCTTCAGTGCATCCCTCCTTGTTTATTCTGTGGCTGGTCTTGTGCCCTAAATGCTGGAGGCTGCACATGGGAGAGGAATAGTAGGGGGAAAAAAACCCTGGTCAGACCCTGCTTACTCTCCCTTCCAGCATGTGCTCTCTGCCATGGTCTGACCCAGGACACGGCAATCATATGATGAGACTCAGGTGGCAGGCTCTGTCTGGGGACAGGTCTGAGGTCCCCCCCGTGCCCACTGTGGATTGGAGTCAAGATAGGAAAGGGCAAGGGAGCCAGATGGGAGGACAAAGCAGGAAGTAAAAGGGCACTGTGTG